AATAAACTAAAACTAAACCAACTAAAAATAAACTCAAAGAAAAACTAAAGTAAACAAAAACCCAACTCAAACTAAGGTCATAATTCGGCGAAGCATGCCTTCTGGTACGAAATAGGTAGACAGTTATGCGAAAAATAAGTTGTATTGGACTCAAGATTTCACTGTCACCCATATTTTTATCAAAGAACCGAATGTATGCTACTTCGTTCTGACGGAAGATCGATATTTGTGCAGGCCTTTTACGTGAAGTATATTTGTACTTCGTTCATTTCCGCGAATGGCCTCGAATTAAACTCCGCCGTGGAATTGTTGAAGTCGGCTGCGTCGACAAAACGAAGGTTTCGCAAATCAGAAGACAGAGAAGGTTGGAACAGTTTTTAATTGCGAGAAAAAAGCATTTACAAAGAGCTCTGCTAAGCGCTATCTGCAGGCTCTGTCTTCAGGTAAGTTGTCAGTTTGTTTCTATGTGACAGGATCAGGTCTCAGGCATAACTATATTATCGACGTTTTTACCAGATATGTAATTCTTAGGAGGGCATCCGGTCCCCAATGGCGTGCACTTACTGCAAAGGGGAAAATGGCATACTGTGCATGACAAAACTACTTGAGAAATGGGTAAGAACATTGCAAGTAATGCCATTCAGTGAACCGTATGCGATGCTATATCGATTACTGATATCGAGTCAAATTTAACAGAGAAAAAACGAAGCAATAAATAAATACACTTAGGTGAGTAACATTGAGATCTCCATGACTGCTCTTAAAGATAACCAACCTCCCAGGAGCAATAATGGCTTAGTTTAAGGGCCTGGTTAGAGGATCTATACTGCCGCAGAGTTTCACCATAGCACATTAATTCATCATCACACACATGAGACATTACACAGAAAATCACTGTGATTTGGAGAGTTGTTTCAAATAATGGAACGCTAGAGTTTTATATGCCTATCTTAAGTCTGCATAACAAATTATGTTCCAGTGATACCAGCATTTGCATTGGCTACTTTGATTTGCAGTCAGTTGACCATGGTCTTGAACCTTAATCGAAATTTACAAATATCTTTTTTTATTACGCCTGATTAGGATTTGCATGCTTTTTATGAGATTTTGTAAGATTCTTGTAATATAACTTATCTTATAAAAATGTGGCACATTTCTGACGCACCAGGATACCAATTTCGTAAAAATATCTCTTTAGCTGCTTTAATACTTCGCACTTGACTACCTAGATATTATTCATTTTTTTATCAGACCTCCATTGCCCCTATAACTATGGATGTATTGCACAGAAAGCGTAAGCATATTAAGGGGTGTCTTGTGCACATTTGGTAAAAACTACGTCTACTTCAAATTGCTATTCTCAAAGGAAGAGGGTTATTTAGGCTGTTAAAAAAATTTCGATTCCTAATTTTTTTGAGCTGAATCGACCTGTGTATTTGTCTTCATGTTTTGCTGTATGCTTTCGGTGTAAGGGAAAGCCTATCCGCCTTTGTATTATCATCATAATGTTAAATGGCATAAATAAATTGACAGATAGAGATTGGATCTTGTACAGTCTTGTAAAAATGATAACGAGAAACAGTTTTGCAATCATAATCTACCCTTAATTCGAGTATAAAATGCAAAAAACACGTACTTGGCCACCTAATGAGTTTGTCTAAGTTTCATACACATTTTGTTTATATTAATAAAGTCATAGAAAATCAATAGAAAAAAATCCGAGTTAATATGTAGAACATCATACTGAGTGGGGTTTTTGTTTATATTAGTTTCTTGTTTAGTTGATTTTTAGTTCATTTAGTTTTGGTTCATTTTTATTTCCTTTTTTGGCAACATGTGGTTGCTTTTGCCTTAGAATCTGACTCTCTATCATCTCTGTATAGTAGGCACACAGAACCTTAACGTTTTTAAATTAATGCGCCAATGTTTAGCACTAAGCATTGCCTATACAATGCTCACGATTAAGTAACCACATAAGGGCAGATAGGTATTCTTCACAACGCATGGAAAAGTGACGACTGTTAACCACTACTGGTCGTCACTGTCTATCCTACACTCTTAATCAAGAAGTGATAGCAAAAATGGATTGCCGCAATTAATTTCGTCTGGCATGGCAAATACCGTAAAACGAACTCTTATACTTACAATTTCAGTCTACGCCTATAGACCTTAAATATACTGCTATATACTGCGAAATGAAATTAATTTCTCAGGAGATTTAAAAACCGAAACGAACTTTACCTACCAATCACCATCCCTGTTCCGATCCTCCTGACACACTCTCGCCACCGCTTCAAAGCGGATGTGGAGAGCATGCGGCTTTTGCTGGGCAAACATGCTGTTAGTATCAACTACTTTGTGCTCATAGCA